AGATGTAGTTATGACACTGACTGCACACTTTATGAATAATAAGTGTATCAAGAAATAATCGTCCAGAATTATAGCCACGTTTATAACCAGGGTTTCTGCAGGTATCTTCAAATGAAATTTAATGCCTTTTTAATGCCTTTTTAATGCCATTTAAAAAAAAATAATGCCATACACGACCCATGACTAACCACGGATATATATATATATATATATATATATATACAGTATATAATATATATATATATATATATATATATATATATATATATACACACACACAATTGTTTTTTTGTTTTTTTTAAATATTGCTCCACAAACGTTGGTGACTACAGCATCTGTTGTCGTCGTAACGTTACTTGTAGATTTGTCGGTCACACCAAAGTAATTAGGCATCGTTGATTGCTGTTTGACTCTTAGCGCCGATTTGTGGCCGTCACACTGCATGTGTGATTTTACGGCGCCGACGCCCATTGTCCCCAACTTAAATACTTTTTTTTGCAAACGCGGCAAAATCCTTCATAATGTTTACCAGCAACCGGCTGCAACCATGTCTTGAATTTGCATTTTCCAGCCACTTCTGCTGAAATTTGCACTTTCCCATTTTTCAGTAGTTTCAGACCTGTCCACTGCTGTGCAAAATGCCCTCGTCACCTCTGAATCACGGCAATTTTGCTCCGGCCGGAAGCAATTACCAAAATGGTCCCGCGTGTTTATCATACTAACCTATTTTTTACATTCGATACTAACGTACATATTTTGCGAGCGCAAATACAAATTATTAATTATGAAGGCTATATTCAAATAAATTTGTATAAAATTCTCTTCAAAACTATAAAAAAATGTAATGCCTGTAAGAATCAAATTTAATGCTTTTTAATGCCTTTTAAGGCCTTAATTTTCGGAAAATCCATTTAATGACTTTTAATGCTTTTTAATGCCCCGCGGAAACCCTGATAACGTAAGAAACCAAACCGTTTGTAAATCCGTCAAGAATTCAACGAGACAAGAGATGTTTGTGTTCGTGCTGATCACCCATCTTACATCAGGAGCCCGCCAGAAAGCTTGCCTGTGACAAGATGGCCGCCGGTGATGACGATAGAGACTCCGCCGTAACACATCTAGCCTTTATTATGGCTATCCATGGTTTTGACAGTTCAGCATAACTTTATTTGACGTGCACTTTGGTCATTTTACACATACGGTAATATTCAAAAGGTAATATTCAAAAAAGCATAATAGGGGCACTTTAAAAGAAACCGTTCCGGAAAAACAAGGAGGAAATCCTATGTGATCAATTGACTGTCATAAAAAGGGAACATGCAGGGTATATTGAAAATGGAGAAAAGAAGAGTGGAAAAGACAGGTTTGTGTAACAGACGTGTGGGGCCACATGCCTAATGGAGGAAGCAGGCAGAAAGGCTTACAGTCCAGCTTGGCCCAGAGGTAGTCCACGTCCCAAACCATCCCTGGCCAACGCCTGCCTGCTGTCATGGGTGAGATGGTGGTGAAACATGGAGCAGGTCATGAGACTGTCAGCCACACAACAGCTAAAGCCCTACTGGATGAGGGAATCTGTGGCTCTGTTCCAAAGCTGTCTAGTTGTATGTCTATGTCTACATCCAGTTATCTGATTAAAGTGTCAAGCTGCAATGGCTTGATGTAGATGTCAGAATATAAAACAAAAAACTGGCTAAATTACTACTTTACCGTTCTATTGTTTGGGTCTATACGATTTTCTATATTTCATTTATTGGATCAAAAATGCAGTAAAACAGCAATATTGTGAAATATTATTACAATTTAAAACAACTGTTTTCTGTGTGAATATATTTTAAAATGTAATTTATTCCTGTGATCAAATCTGAATGTTCTCATCATTATGTCTTCAGTCTTCAGTCAGTGTCACATGATCCTTCAGAGAAATGTTTACTATTATTAATGTTTAAAATGAAAAAACTTTTTTTTTTCAGGATATTTTTTTATTTTTATTCAGCAAGGATGGATTAAATTAAATTATTTTGATCAAAAGTGACAGTAAATATTTTGGTTTCAAATAAATGCTGTTCTTTCTAACTTTATATTAAACAAAGAATAATGAAAAAACACACAAAAAAATGAAGCAGCACAACTGTTTTCAACATTGATAATAATCAGAAATGTTTGTTGAGCAGCAAATCATCATCATATTAGAGTGATTTCTGAAGGATCATGTGCCACTGAAGACTGGAGTAATGATGCTGAAAATTCAGTTTTGATCACGGGAATAAATCACATTTAAAAAATATATTCACATAAAAACTGTTGTTTTAAACTGTAATAATATAATATAATATTTTTCCTGCATTTTTGATCAAATAACTGCAGCCTTGATGGGCAGAAGAGATTTCTTTCCAAAACAAAACATTTTGAATCTCAAATTTCTTTTCAACTTTAAGTGTAAATAGTTTGAATATATAAGAAGAGTTCAGATGCAAAAGCCTCTAAATGCCATTTGAAATTTTCTTCTTTAATGATGATTTTGATCAAACTTGTATATTTAAGTTCAGTAATTTCAATTAAATAACAATTAATAGGTAATTATCATGCCATTTAAGTGAAATCACTGAACTTAAATATACAAGCTTGATAAAAATGATCATTTTAGAAGAAAATTTCAAATGGCACTTAGAGGCTTTTGCATCTGAACTCTTCATAAATACTACAACATTAGTTTTACTACAACTAAGTATATACATGATTGGAAAATTATCAGAATAAAATTAGAATGTACTTTTTTGAAAGTAAATCATTTAGTTTTCAGATGAATGAGAAAAATAAAAGGGTTCAAAAGGGCATCAACTATGAAACACTAAAAGTGCATCACATGACACAGTGGAATGAACAGACATGATCAATACAGCTATTCCTCCGAAGGCATAATGTGTATGTAGATAAAACAGGCAGCTAGATTAAACTTAATATATTGATATATTTAGCACTGAATGATATATCGATTTATCATCAACATTTCTTTTGACTAATCTGCCATTCAGGAGGATTTATATCTAAATGCATCATTTGATCACTTCATCACTTCACAACTGTATGTTAACTGAAAAATAAGTGCACAGCTTATAATGTCTGTCAGCCAATCAGAATCAAGAATTCAACAGACTCATGGTACAACCAAAATGATGGTGTACCAGGCTTTGCTATGAACATCTGATGTCTCTAAAACGCTCCTAAACTGGACAGCTTTGGAACAGAGCTTGCACGTCTTGTATGACCTCTTTCCATCTTAAGGCTACATTTTACGGGTATATTATTACTTTTAATTAGTAAAGTGTTAATTAGTAAATAAATATTGAATTTGTAATTTGGTTTTGGCGACACAAACCGAAGAAACACGAAAAGAAAAGAAACAAACATGACAACTCAGAGTATCCAGAGAAAAGAATGAACATGAGAGAGTAATTAGAACAAAAGAGAAAGGCGAAAAGATAGAAAAAAGAGAGAACGACAATCTGGGAAAGCAGTTTCTGATGTGTTTGATGGAGGTACAACAAGAAACCTTGAGATGCAAAAGAAGAGAAATTCAGAGAGATGGAGTTTGAAGTGACTAATATGGTCGGTCTCTCTCCCTCCCTCTGGGTTCAGTGGGTGTGTCTGTGAGCCGCTCTGTATGCAGCTTTTGTCACGAGTCAATAGAGGTCACCATAGCGATTTTCAACGCCTTTCTAGGAAATAAATGGGCGTCGCTATTGAAATCAAAAGTTTCAGAGGATTATTCTGCAAAATGATGGAAAAGAATGAGTTCTGTACGGTGCTCTCCACACCAGACCGGCTGCATTCAGGGACGGGGGAATTACCATCCACTTGAAGAACAGAGTGCACATATTAAACAACTATTTAAATAACAAAGAAAAGTAAATAGCCTACACTCAAAATGCAAAATGCACTACATGTCCAGCCAAACAAACACAACCGCTTTTGTCATTCTGTAAATGTAAAAAGAAAATAAATAAAAAAAATTCGAAATCCTGAAAACCCGGACAAAAATGAAGATTCAATGTCATTGTGACTGTAGTATATGAGACTATCAGGAACTAAAACTTAAAAACCATAAAAAAACATTTTCATTACGTGAAAAAAAAAAAAAAAACATTAACTAAAATTAAATAAAAAAAATTACTTATTTTATTATCACATTTTCGTTTAGTTTAAGCTGAAGTACTAAAAACACTTCAACTAAATATATTTAACTTTCAAAAACTATATCGAAGTGTTCCCTACAGATTTGTCGGTGACTTGTTAAGATTAGATTCATTTCCATGACACCGTGGTTCTTTAAATAGAATTATGCCCACATCTATTTCTCCTTTTCAGGTGTGTAATTCATTAGGCTGTACAGCAGTGCGATCGTGGTTTGACACTGCTTTCACAAGTGTAGGCTGTTTTGATTCGATTTTCGCAGTCATAAAATGTCGCGCCTGTACGGTCAGTGCAGTGACCGCATGGTTTCATCTAGACCTGTGCACTGACCACATCACAACTGCAATAAGCAACCGTACCAGACAATCTATCCAGTTTAGTGAATTCCCAATTTTGGGGTGGGAGAGGAATACTGAGGATAGCAAAATAAAAACTGAATTTTATTTTGCAGTATGTGCAGTTACTACTTACACAAGAAATTACTAAGTTAAAGGAATAGTTCACTTAAAAATGAAAATTCTGTCACCATTTATGGACCCCGTTGACTTCCAAAAAAATACTATGGAAGTCAATAGGGTCTGGTTACTCACATTCTTCAAAATATCTTCTTTTGTGTTCAACAGAAGAAAGAAATGCATACAGGTTTGGAACAACCTGAGGGTGAGTGAATGTTAACACAATTTTCATTTTAAGCGAAACTATTCCATACATGGATTTAACATGGGTTAAGTTGTTAGGTTTAGGTTCTGGGTTAGTACAGTGCCAATCATTAAAAAAAGGTAAATAAAAGGCTAGAGACGGTGTCTCACCTGCTCCTCCGGTTGGCCAGAAGCTGGGGGAGGGAGAGAAGACCTGGGCAGCAAAGTCCTCGAAGGTCATGTTCTCCTTGTGGTTCTGAATGATGGCCTCCAGGTAGAGAGCTCTCTCCTCATAACTGACGGTCCATCAAGGAAAATGACATTCACATGACAGAAGATCATCACAGAGTTCAAAAATACCCAGGAACAACGACTGGACAGCAAAAAAGGAAATATAAACAAGAACATCAGAACAACAGCACAGAAAAAGAGTTATAATGCTGTCAGCATCGAAAAAGCGATTCATGAAATCATCACAAGGTCATTTAGAAATGTTGTGTGAGGAACAAACTAAAATGCATGCATATTTAAAAACGGTGAATCAAGATGTTTGCACCATTTTTATGCCAATGATGCCAAATGCAACTCATACTGTTTATATGATTTTAAAAGATGTCTCCTATGCTCACCAAAATACAAATCAGCATTTATTTAATAATAATAATAACATAAAACATATCCTCAAAGCTAACCACTTAAAATCCAGTCATTCCAAAGGGAATATATTTGTGGAAACCGTGATAAAAAAATGTTGTAAAAGACTTTGATGAATAGAAAGTTCGAAAGAACAGCTTTTGAAAAAGATTGTTTTAGTAACAATGAAAAAGTTCTAAATAAAATAATTTACAAAAATGGCCCCCACAGTCACCAGATCTCAACCCAATAGAGCATCTTTGGGATGTGGTGGAACGGGAGATTCGTGCCCTGGATATATATCCCAAAAATCTCCATCAAAATGCTATCGTATCAATATGGGCCAACATTTCTAACGAATCCTTTCAGCCCCTCGTTGAATCAATGTCACATAAAATTAAGGCAGTTCTGAAGGCAAAAAGGGTCAAACACAGTATTAGTGTGGTGTTCCTAATAATCCTTCAGGGAAGTGAACATTTCTTGGTGAAAGTGCATTATTTTCTTGCATGGGCAGCAGCAGTGTGAACATACTGCTAAACTTCTCCTTCTGTGTTCCACAATCACAAGTCACACAGGTTAAGTGACACACGAGTTTTCATTTTGTTTTCCCTTGCACAGGCAGCTAAAATATTCAAGGGAAGTAAACCAAAACGGAGATGTAGCGGAAGACTTTTAAAAAAGGACAAAAAGAAGATATTACAATTTGCTCGGATTCAAATTTAGCTTCAGGATCCGGCACATTCCACTTGGCATTTCAGAGCAAATGGAAACTTCATGTAATAGGTTGGGCACTGGTACTATGGCAGATGAAACAAATCAAATCTTCCTGAAGCCATTTGCACTGCAGTCTTTACACACACATGGTGAGCGTGGCCTGTTCATTTACGGCGACAGTCCGTTAACCGTCCAAACAAACGCACGAGCAGGTGTTTCTGCCCTGACGTCCACATACACACCAACACAAGCCTGGCAATCACTCAAGAACTAATACACGTTTACAATCAGTGCGCATCGCTGTATTTATATGTATGTGTGTGTGTGTGCTCTAATCAGTCCCTCCAGAAAAACGCGATTATGCGATCGCTGAATTCAATGCAAAATCAGCCAAAGTCCGCATATTTATGCGGGGGCCGCATTTTTTCAAATACGCCGCACTTTCGCCGCATAAATTGCCGATTTCCGTGCAAAATTTGCGGGGTTTGCATAATTTCATAATCCTCGCATTTTCGTTGCAAAAAAAGTCACATGTATCTTAGCAGAAAGTTGAAAAATGTTGCGTTTGCTTCACACAAGAGCAGCCATTTCCCCCTGTTTCCATGGGAACGTTATGAAGTGACGCAATTACGCGACAACAGACAGACTCACGGAGGCGATTGACATCTCACAAATGGAACTCGTATAACTGTCTGTCGCACGTTCTACCGTCACATCGTTACTTAATAAACATCATAAGATAAAAGAAGTAGCATCAAACAGAAATTACCCGCACACATGGGGTGTTCGAGGCGCACATATAACACTGCAGAGAGTTCAACAGGGAGCGCGCAGCTCTTAAAGGGGCCACACCTTATTTACACTCTTACAGTCTGAAATAAAACAAGATGAGAAATTAAATATTCCCAGCACTTTCTATGATGTAGTATGCTTGCTTATCAAAGGAAGTAATAAGAAATGACTCTTACATAAGCCTAGTGAGAACAGGATGTTGGGGGAATCACTTTTTTTCTCTTTTTCATCAAACCGCAATTTTTGCTAATTCCTGCAATTTCATCGCATAAAATTGCATACATTTACGGTATGATGCTGGCAACCACAGCTGCCAGTAGTTTACCGCGTAATCAATCAATTTTTGCCCGCAACAATCACAAAAAACTCCGCGTTCTTCTGGAAGGACTGAATACTATTATGGTAAATGTTATATATAAATCGCAAATTTTTTCACAAATTTTTGGAAATTACCACCACAAAATCAGTCATTTTGATCGCAAAAATCACACAAAAAAATCGTGAAATCCTGGAGGGACTGTCTAATGTGTAATGAATAGGTTGAGGAGTGGAGGCACATGCCTGCCTGCTGAAATTCTGGAGGGCCCGACTGATGCCATTCCCATCTCATTAGGGAGGCTGCTTATTCCGCCAGGCGCTAGGCTGTTGCCAAGGCCTTTGCACTCCATCATGACCACGCTGGCTACGCCACACCAGTGTGTGTGTGTGTGTGTGTGCCACGTGCCGGCGCAGCAGGAGCTGAGGCAACCGTGACAAATTGTTGAAAAGGTCCGACTGAACCCAACGCTGACAAGCACCTGAGCCTGAGGGCTGCACACAAGGAGCCTCACTTCTGCATGCTTTCTGCTCAAAACACACAGCGGGAAGGGAGGGGGTGAAACACACATAGCTTAGCCTCGAAATAAAACCCAATCGAAATGATCAGCAACAGACGGCACGTGGCGTTATAAATGTGTACGTACAAATCTGAGTGTTAAGGCCATTGCACACTGAGTACGAAATTTTCGTATGCGTATTTTCGTGTTCGTCAGCCTAAAAAATTCGTCACGCATAGAAACCTTGCACACCGAGTCCGTTGCGTATTTATTAAACGTTTGCGGGAAAAAAAACGCAAAAATACCAAATGGATTCGTCAAGCAGTGAGGATGATTTTTGCCCTCTCTCATATTGAAAAGAGAAAAAACAGAAAATATTACGTCCATCCAATCCTGAAATTGCGCCGAGAGGAAGGAGAGTTCCACCTTATCAAGGAGTTGCGAATTTATCCTGAGCGATTCAAAATTTACCTCAGAATGTCAGTGGGACAGTTCGATGCTTTGCTAGCGATTCTGGAGCCACATATTAAAAACAAGACCACCAATTTCCGTGAACCAATCGATTCTGAACGGAGACTGGCAGTGTGTCTGGTATGGACCAGGCATGGACGCATGGACACACACACACACACACACACAAACACACACCCGCGCGCGGCCCGGTGGAAGCGCTGGGCAGACAGAACAGCTAGGCTGTTATTGTGTATATATTGTGTATATTGTGCCCAAATAATACATTAGTTATCGAATAGGCTGCTCAATCACACTTTATTCGATCCTAAATTTCAATCTGATTGAAAGGGGAGGTTTATTAATTTCATAATCCAATATAGAGAAGAGAACATAAACACTTGATCGAATTGAAAACCGAAACTGAAAGCACGGCGCATATGTGCAATGATGTGAGGACGAGCTCCCCCCGCCCTGAATTATCAAAAGACCTCTCAAAATGCTGGCTGTGGATGCGAAAAACGCAGAAAATCGAACCCGATCCGATTAATTTTATGACGGACGAAAGTTTCGGAGGCGGTGTGCAAGCGTGACTGACATAACGTGAGGTCGAATTTTTTTTTTAACGTGCGAAAATTTCGGATGCGAATTTCGGACTCGGTGTGCAATGGCCTTTACCGTGTCTAAAAATGAAAGGTTTTGCTGGTATAGGAAACATGGGTAACATTATAGGAAACAGCCTTTGTATCCTCGATTTAAAACGGATCTCTGTAATCAAAACGATCAGCTAAATACGGCATGCACACATAAACATAAAATCTAAAAAAATGCTACTACAGAAACACGGTAAAGTGCCTTACAGATGAATAACAGTGATTACTGAAAACACAACTGAGATGTAAAGCATATTAAGTAATGGGTGCGAAAGAAAAGTGTATGTGCGTGAAATAGAGGACAGAGGGAGGGAGGGGAAGAGAGGAATGAGAATAAGGGATAATAAGCCTGATCCCACTAGGTCAACAGAGCCATATGGCGTGCCATTATCAGAGATGCAGATGACTTAAGCGTGGCTCAGCTATTGAGATTCCTAAAACAAATATTGACCTCAGCCAGAGTCACCGCTGCCGTCGGCTAACCTGCACTCCCACTTCCTGAGGATGAAAAAAAAAAAAAATCCTAACCTCCCATCTATTGAACAGATTTACGCAGCAGTCACAGCACATTACATTTCATACATTGATCTGCGCCTAAGCGATGTTTGCGGCTTCACATCAGTTCTGGCACACCTCTGATTTACGTGATACTGCTCCGGCAGCTGTTTACATAAATGCACGCTGCTCTTTAGAAATAGGATTTGTGCTTTATTGTTCCTTGTATGCTTGATATTAAAGCAGTAGACAACTAACTACAAAACAAACAAAAAAAAAAGTGGCGTATAAGCCATTTTCACACAAATTACAAAGAAATGGCAAGTAACACATGAAAATTTCGTGTAAAACGTACTCCAATAATCTCTAAACATCATTTTTGCAGTGTATCACGCTGGATTTACTGACAGACTTGATTTATGATTTATGATCATCACTGCCCAACATCTCATCTCTGTCTCGGGTTTCTCTAATTGTTGTGGCACAGGTTGTTCCTTTGAATACATGAGGTGGGTTCCTGAGGGCTGGATGACGGTGACATGGACTAATTCAATAAAGGAGAGAACGGTGACGCTGTCCAAGAGCTCGTCTCGATCTGAACATACAGGAAATACGCTGAATGTTTGCACAGACTGAGGTCTTTTAGATGACACTGTTCCAAACGCTAATGCTGAGAGAAAAACAAACACGGGACCGCTCTGTATTTCCCGCAGGCGAGCGGGAACCCTACATAAAGTAGTCACG